TTTTTTTGAGATAGAGTCCTACTCTGTCAGCTAGCCTGGAGTGCAGTGGCACCATCATAGCTCACAGCAACTTCAAACTCCTGGGCTCAAGCGATCCTCCTGCCTCAGCCTCCCGAGTAGCTGGGACTACAGGTGCATGCCACCACGCCTGGCTAATTTTTCTGTTTTTCAAAGAGATGGGGTCTCGGGTTCCCACTCTTGCTCAGGGTAGCATTGAACTCCTGACCTCAAGCGATCTTCCTGCCTTGGACTCCCAAAGTGCTGGGATTACAGGTGTGAGCCACATGCCTGGCCTTTGCCTGGCCTTTGCCTGGCCTTAGCTTTGTATTTTAAAACAACTTAATAACAGAAGTTTCCATTGGTGGGAATATAAATGGTGCAGCTGCTATAGGAAACAGTATGAGGGTTATTTAAAAAATTAAAAATAGAATTACAATATGATCCAGCAACTCCACTTCTGGGTATAGAACTGAAAGAATTGAAAGCAGGGTCTAGAAAGACTGAGTGTATTAGTATGCCGATATGTATAGCAGCAATATCCACAATAGCCAAAATGTAGAAGCCACCCACATGTCCACACATGGGTAAATGGGTAAACAAAGTGGGTCCAACACGGATCACAGACCTGGAGCATGTGCTGCCGAGCACACCCCAAACAGTATTTGTAACATGGCTTCAAAGTAAAACCTACTGGTGAGCATGTAGTTTTAAATTAAGTTTTAATGTCATCATGAATACAGGCAAGCCTAATTTAATCAGGAATTAGTCATTAAAAATTAACATATGTTGATATTTGTGCCTCGAATGCCAAGAAGACTGTTTGTTGCTGTTATTTATTTATTTTACTGCCTCTAATTGTTTCGAATGGTTCCTAGGGGTTTTTCTCCTATTTCAGCATTTCTCATGAGCTCTCAAATGGCTACCTCAGTGTTTCCATTTTAAAAATGGTAAAAAAGCATTTGCTTTAGAAAGACCTCACAAAGATACCATTAAATTTACTATTAGATAGCATTAAATTGGTACATTTTAGAATTCATTCACCAAGTATGAGAATTTGTTCATTTAAAACAATCCTATTGTGGATTAATTTGAAAGTATAAACTCCCCTAATATTTATAAATGAAACTTACCTGCCATTAGCAACTCTGCATTTTATAGGCCACTCAAATCTCAGTAGTCTATAATGATAATCTAAAAACTAGTGCTACATCTACACTTGAAACTTCAGTGCAGTGATTTCTCAAAATAATTGTTAGTACCAATTAGATGAAAAGAAATCCTAAAAATTCAGAAAAAGATAAAGAGTTGTGAATTTAAAAAGAAAAACAGTTAACCTGACTACAGCATCCTTCTACAATCCCAACTTTTTGATGTAGGGCTCTGATCAAAATATTGCCAGTTGATCAGAATATTGCTATATATCAATTACGCTGATTTGGTTTCTTGTATTTGACATGTCCCTTTTCCATGACATTAGGAACTTTCTTGGCTTTGCTTTTTTGAGTCAGAAGAACTTGTTTGTGAAGAAGCCTATTTGTTTTTAAAGTAAAAGTTTCAGGAAGATAAAACTAATGATTTTAGTGGCTGGAGGGCACAGATGGGACCCACACAAATAACTGTTTCATATGTAAATTTTATTCATGTCCCTGGATGGGGACAAAAACAGTATTATTATGTTTCCATTGGCTTGAGGTTCACAGGAAAACAGTTAACATGTTTTGTTTGTTCGTTTACTAACATTAAGTAGTCTGAACTGTAAATTGTTTATAAATAATGGAGAGAAATATTTGCCATCAATGATTATTTTTGAAAGTGAATTCTATTGAAATCTAACTAAAACTTCATGCAAAACAATTTGTCTTCTAAACTATATTTTGATGGAAACAGAATTTACAATTTCTATTACTATGTAACTTTAAAACCTCATTTCTTCTCAAAAATCTTACAAATTTGCTATATTTATGATATTGTAAAATAATTTCAAAGATAGTAAAAGCTAGAAATTATAACCAAAGCCTGAAAATTGATAATTTTTCATTTCACGAACACATACATTTTTATTCTAATAATGTTAAGATTTAAAAACTATTTTTACGTGCTATGAAAAAGAATCACAAATGTTTAGAAATCTATGCTCACTAACCTTCAACATACATTTTATAACAGGTAAACATTTAAATGTTGACTGACTGGCAAATGGTTAGATTGTGGTATTCATACAATAGAACATGACTTAATGATAAAAATCAATGAATTGTGGTTTCATTCATCTGGATAGATGAATTCTAAAGTTTCTGAGTAAAAGAAATATGTCATGGAATAACACACAAAGTATATGAGTCCATTTATGTAAAATTCAAAGAGTCAAAACTAAACAATGCAAAACTATAGAAAAAGGAATGAAAAGCAGAAAATTTGGGATAGGTTACCTCTGGGGCAGAGAAGTAAATATAGTCAAAGAGCCATGGCAGGCGCCAAAGGTATGAGTACCATTCTATTCGTGAGGTGGTGAGTACCTTGGGATTCGTCATCTTTAAGCTGTACATACATTTTACACACTCTAGAGAAAAAGACAGGTGAGAAAGTGGAGACCATATATGTAGACAACTCTTTGAAGATCTTTATCTTGATTGGAGCATAAAAAAGCATAAATGGGGAAAACGTGGATATTCAGAGATTTTGTCCTTATGCTTTCTAATATATGAAAATGGGGACTATAAATGCCATAGAAAGGCTCTATTAAAGGGGAGACTCTGAAGAAACAGCAGGAAGATAGCCGATGAAGCAGCTTATTTGAATAGGATGGGGGGAATAGCATCCAGCATGCATCTAAAAACACCAACCTTTGGAAGAAGGAACACCACCCAACTCAATCAAAAAGAAGGGGGAAAGGTCAGAAATGGGAGCAGCATGTTTGTACACTTGATGGGGGACGCTGAGGTGTGCTATGTATGGTCACTTGTTTCTTTTGAATGAAGCAAGAAGGGCCAGAGTTCATTTTGAGAAAAAGTGAAGATAAGAAATAACTGATTTGGATAGTGAGAAAATTAGCTGTGCACAGATAAACAGAGACGGGCTCTTGGGCATCTCACCTTCCTTGCTTCTCTTGCCTCTGCCTAGAATGTTTCCCCCTTCCTTTTCACTTAGAAAATCTTCCCATCCTTCAAGACTCACCTCTCAGGTTCTGTATCCTCTGTGAAACCTTTTCTGACTATTCCTGGTCAGTCCTTTCCTTTTAAATCTTATAGCATGTGGTCGTATCACTCACTTTTCATTTATTCACACACTATCTTGTAATGACACTTTTGTGTTGTACATGGTTTAATGTTCATGTGTTATCTCGTTAACTACAGCCCTTAAGGGCAGAAATCATGTGTTCTTAAAACATTGTCCCTTCCACTGTCAGAAAAATAATGCATTCTCATGTACATAGTGAACATCTTTAGTGAACATTTTCTAACCATTACTATCTGCTCAAATATCCTTAAACATAAATGATAAAAAAAGAAAAATAACATACATACATGCAGAACTTTTAATTTTCCATTATTTTTTTAGAATTGCTCCTGGTTGGCTGGGCGTGGTGGCTCACGCCTGTAATCCTAGCATTCTGGGAGACCGAGATGGGCAGATCACTCAAGCTCAGGAGTTCGAGACCAGCCTGAGCAAGAGTGAGACCCTGTCTCTACTAAAAATAGAAAGAAATTAATTGGCCAAATAAAAATATATAGAAAAAATTAGCCGGGCATGGTGGTGCATGCCTGTAGTCCCAGCTACTTTGGAGGCTGAGGCAGAAGGATCACTTGAGCCCAGGAGTTTGAGGATGCTGTGAGCTAGGCTGACACCACAGCACTCTAGCCTGGGCAAGAGGGTGACACTCTGTCTCAAAAAAAAAAAAGAATTGCTCCTGGTTTTCAATTTTTGGTTTCATAATTTACTTTTCAGAAGCTAAGCTGATGTTAACGTATCATTGGTTTAATTTCTAAATTATTTTAAAACAGATTGTTCTTATTAAGTTATGATTTTTCCTATTACAACTTTTAATATATTTCTTCATGCAGGTCCCAGAAAATGAAGCAGAATGTTATCAAGAAAGACAAATTATGTTAGGAATGCCATCTTGTGGTTGAGAGCAGTCCACTACACAACAGGGCCTGACAATCTTTACTTCAAAAATAAAACATGCAGTAAATTCACAAATGGAAATCATGGTTAAAAAGTACTGTTACAAAGGAATACCAATTAAATATACTCATCCATTGTGTGTGGTTTTATTTGCCAAAAAAGACAATGTTCATTGAAAAGAGAGACAGTAGATAAATTACATAGGCATGGACTCCAAATAATATAGAAAAACAGCTATCTATAACTATAAATATGCTATTATGCTTATTCAAATACTCTTAATTTTGGAAAACTTTCTTCTTGAAGTAGGTATTATTATTTGCTTCCACTACTGTTGACAGTTTTATCCTGGATTTTAATTATGTCTTGATTTTCAAACTTCATCAATCTAACTATAATCAGCCAAAGGGCAGTGAAGGAGACAGAGCACTTGTGTGATTTGGATGGTGTGGGACACACATAACTGTAGTACGAAATGGAGTTTGAGGATTAAAAACAATGGCCCTAATCCTAACAGATGAGCTTACCTCCTCCATACGAGTCAGCCATTTTGAGTGGCAAATTAACTTTCTAGTCAACAGGTAACTAGTAAATGGTTACAGATGTAGTACTTAACAACTGGGCTTCAATATTTTGATTGCCAAATTGAATACCAGACATGTTGGTCCACATGAAAGTGAGGGTGTGGGAGTGGAAACTGACATATTCCTCTTGAGCACAGAGCACAAGGGTCTGTGCACTGTGCTACCTTTTGTCACTTCTGTGTAAGGAGCAGCAGTGCAGGCATAATGTGTCAGTCCCAGAGATTAGGCTGTTGAAATTCCAAAAGATAACAGACATATATATGTTTACATAAAAACAAAATGCTATTGTACTCCAAATCAACTTTTCAGATTTATTATTACATGCTTATCACCGTAGAAAAATATTTTACTCAGGAAACTTTCAGGTGAATTGATTTTTGGATTAGTTTTTCCACATGACCCTTCAGGACATTCACATCAGCAGCACAGACCTGGTACTCCATCTGCTCTTGCTGTTTCGTTCTCTCTAATAAAGCTTCATGCGGTGGAGGTAACGCATTGTATGAACCCAGTAAATAAAGCTGACTTGATGAAGTCTGGTTGATTTCTTTAATCTTTAGAGCCTGCATGATAGCAGGTGCAAACTTGGAGTAATGAGCTGTAGAGGAGATGATCACTGGGCAAGTTTTGTCTTGCATTCTGTCGGCAACCACTTTTGCAACGGCAGTGTGCGGATCCAAAATGTACCCTGAAGTATTGTAGGTGGAGTTAATAGCCGTGAGGCACTCTCCCTCCGAGCACCAGTCAGCTACAAAATCCTCCTGAAGTTTCTCAACTAGAATCTTTTCTATCTGGAAGTGACGCTGATTTTCTAACTGATTAAATAATTTTGTCATTAGTTGTCCATCTTTATTAGACATTAAGTATAAGTGTCGTTCTAGGTTTGAAGATTTGAGAATGTCTATTGATGGTGAAAAGGTTTGTGCTAATTTTCTTTCCCTCAGATCGTAATGTCCTGTTTTTATAAAATCAGTCAAAACATGGTTCTGATTAGAGGCACAGATAAACTTTCGAATAGGGATTCCCATCATTTTGGCATACACTGCTGCTAATATGTTACCAAAGTTTCCTGTGGGAATACAGACATCAACTGGACTTCCAAAAGAAATAAATCCTTGGCTAACAAGATCAAGATATGCGGAAGCATGGTAAACTATCTGGGGAAGCAGGCGGCCCCAGTTTATGGAATTAGCTGAACTTAAGAGTGTTCCATATTCCATAATAAGAAAGCCAGTAAAGTCAGAATCCTCAAAAATTCTTTTTAGAGCTGTCTGGCAAAAATCAAAATCTGATGTGACACCCACTGCCCATCCATTTTCTCTCTGACAGCCAATTATTTGTGCTTTTTGAAAATCGCTTACTCCATTCTCAGGAAAAAATGTGACCACAGATATTCTTTGCTTGTCATTCTTATTAAGATGACTAAAACCATTTAAGACTGCACTTCCTGTGTCTCCTGAAGTAGCTACAAGTATCATGTAATTGCAATTTGGTGGAATACAATGTGCAAAAAAATGAGGCATAAGCTGTAAAGACAAATCTTTAAATGATCCTGTTGGTCCATGAAACAACTCCAGGATGAACTGGTTGCCTGAAAGGTGCCTGACAGGGGCGATTTTTGAGCAGGTGAAGTTTTCCCCATAAGCACGTTCAATCATTTCTCCCAGTCTGGCAGCAGGGATGTCTGCAGGATGTATACACCTTTCCAACAGTATCTGTGCTCTTTCTATGTAGGTTGCTCCGACTAAGCTCTTCCATTCCCCACAGCTTAATTTTGGAAACTCCTTCTCAGGAACAAAGAGTCCACCATCAGAAGCTAAACCCTCAATCACAGCTTCACTGAAGAATTTTGCAGAAACCTTCTGTTCGTAGTCTTTAGGGCAAATGTGTCTCGTTGAAATGAATGTTTCTGAGTCCACGTCTTGGTATCTTTTAACTGCAGTTAGCACTTTCTCAGCTACCTCCTCTGGGGAAGCCCCACTTTCACAGAAAACACGAGCGTCATACCACTTCTTGTAATATTGTTTCCTAAATTTAAGTAAGTCTTTCACAGATGTTCCAGAATTCTGACCTACGATCCTATCTATCTTCATTAATTTTAGACGACTAAGTATATCTATTAGAGGTACATCCAGGTACACAACTATTCCATTTTTCTTCAGATGCCACATGCTAGCATCATGCATTGGATTGGACCCAGTAAGGGAAATCACACTTCCAGATGCAGAGAAGTTTAACACAGCTTTTCCTTCCTCTTCTAAAAATTGCTCATTACCAACATCCTGTAATTTTTCAGACACACTCATATTCCAGGTTTTTTCAAGGATATCATCATCCACATCTATGACACAACAACCTAGTTTCTGACCTATTATTCTGCCTACTGTTGTTTTCCCAGCACCAGGAGGTCCCATCAGGATAATATTTTTGTCTCCAATAAAAGAGTGAGTGGAATGCCATGACTTCCTTAATTCTGCAAGTGCAAAGGTTCTCGAAAGAAACAGCTGTGCTTGTTTATCCGTTTTAACATGTACACTAGAAAAACACTTCTGCGTTATCTGTTTCAGATGCTGACAGCGTTTAAAGTGAAGCATTCTCTTTTCTCTTTTCTGCCCAAGCCGACCTAAAAATTGGCTTTAGCCCTTTTCGAAACACAAAAGCAAAAAAGATATTTTGTTACTAATTTCAATGAACTGTTAAAATCCCAATAAGATTGAATATAACCATGCCCACAGTGCATAAACTGTTCAAAAACCTTCCAAACTTATGGGATATTTTAAAAGAGTATTCCAATCCAAATTCTCATATATTGCATATTATCATTTTTAATATCTTCAATCTCAAGACACTGAAAAATCAAAACTTTAAAATCTGTAACTATAAATAGAAACCTTATTTAGAAAATGCAATATAATAGATGCTTTTTAAAAATATACTAAATAAAATTAGTATTTATTTTCCTTTTATGAAATATTATAATGAAAACTGTTGCATGGCTTATTGGTTTATAACATATATAAGGATTATTTGGAGTGCTATTTACTTGCAATTCACAGTAGCTGAACAATACTCTTTGTATTTAATTTCTCCTTAGTTATATGAACATGTTGATAGACTATAATGTTACTTAGAAATTTCTTACAGAATTCACAACAGGAAACCAGAATAAAAGAACATATTTGCTTATGAAATGCTTTAATATTTTCCAAACTACAGGACAAAGGTATGACATTTTCTTTCTTACGTGCTTTTTATATGCCTACTGCTGACGATCAGTGTTATTCATATTGAAGGCCTTTAAAAAGGCCAAAGTGAAAAGTATAATATCATACAAATAGTTATGAAAAATTAATAACCAGCAATGAGGTCAAAAGCCACATAACTATAACCTTATCTGCATGGAACGATCGCTTTTGTTTCTAATCCCATAAACATCATCAGTGAAGAGACTTAACTCAAATTCCAGACTCTAGAGCGATAGCCAAGAAACTAAGGAACGTTTCCAATGATAAGAGGGAAAAATTATTCTGGCATCCAAAGCAGCTCTACAAGTCCTCATACTGATCAAGTCCCTGTCTTTGGAAATATACCTACCATTAAAACAAAAATGCATGCCACAAATCTAATTTTTAGTCATGTAAAATGCAATTTAATAACTCTGCAATGTTCATGTAAATTGCCTAAAGTAACTTCACAGACACACATAGTGGGGCTTTTCATATGTTCTCTGGTAGAAACAATATGCAACTAAACCAACTAAACCATATTAAATATTAGGTGATATGTTTAAATAATGTGTAAAAATTTTCAGTTGTGTACCACTCTGATTTTCTATGCTACTCAAACAGTTAAACATTTGAATAATTTTAAGCTAACTCTGAATTTAACTTACAAGTAAAATTGGAACTGTCAAGAGAAGTAATTCATTTCCTTATTTGACTTTTCAGCTTGTATGTGCTGTTCTTAATTCCCACTGACTTGTAAACATAGGACACACAGGAACCAATCTTAGATGAAGAGTTTGTTGATACGGAGACAAAGTTGATCTTTGCCGGAAGTGGAGCCTATAATGGAAAAAATGTCAAGTTAATCATAACTGTATGTAGGATCATAAAACATAGGCATACACATAGCCTATTATTAAATAATTCATCTGAAATTTTAAATATACAGAAAAATGGATCCTTTTCATGTTTCCCCAAATCATTATTAAAAGATTAAGACACTGGTTTTTAAATATGTCTTATCATAGAAAAGAATTTTACTAAACAGTATTGAAGGAATTTCTGCTACCAAGCAATAAAAAAGACAATATAACCAAATATAAAATATAGTAATGACAATATAAAATCTTTCACAATGACACCTGAAATTTTAATGATTTAACTGCATATTTAAAGATCAGAGGGAAAAAAAATCGGTGGACTGAAACTATGAAATGAGTCTGAATTGTTCTTTTAGGTTATCTTATACATCTGAATTACTACATGATTTATATTAATAATATCTACCGTAAAAAGCTCAAATGAAGTATCTGCCACACAGAGCTAATTTATAAATTCAAAGCACATATCATAGTGGCTAGCACAAAACAATATATATAGCAGTATTAATCACTGTCACTCAATGACAGTGGACTAAGAACATATAAATTGAATCAGAATATCTAAGCACAAGGCTAGGTATTTTCTTATGGTTTGGTTTGTTTATAACCCTGGTAGTGCATTCCAAGGCCTCTGGTCTTGATACTCTTTATCTTTAATATGTTTAACAATAATTTGGATGAAGCATTGAGAGGATGATACTGGAGTTAGTGGGTAAGAACATGGACTTTGGAGTGAGAAAAACCCTTGGATACCCAACTCCTTTATATAAAATGGCATAGTATTAATATTTGCATACAAACTACACATTCTCCTGTATACTTTAAATCATCTCTAGATAACTTATATTACAATGTAAATATTATGTAAATAGTTATATTTTATTTTTATTTATTATTGTTGTATTTTCAATATTTTTGATCCACAGTTGGTTGAATCTGCAAATGCAGAATTCATGGATATAGAATTCATGGATACAGAGGATATATCAGGACATAAAATAGCCAAAAGCAAGTTAAGCTCTGCTGCTTCTGACTACTGACCCCAAATCCTCCCAGTCAGAGTACCTCCTACTTCCATGAAATAAAGAGGTGGAGAGGGTGAAAGGACCACACTCCAGGGCCAAGGAACTTGTAATCACAAGGAACTTACAACCAAATGCATAATTATGCAAATTCACCACTTATCTTTGTCTTTATATGTACTATCAAAGCTGCCTACATTTTTTCTGTCGTTAGACTTCTATTAGATATCCTCTTAATGATCTCAAGTAGTTAATTGAAAAGACTTAAGTTCTTAATTCTATAACTGAAAAATACTAAAAGAAGCTGTCTTTATAAAGGGTTTTTCTTCCAAATGTCTTATATCCCCATCTATGCCCATTTTGTTCATGTACAACACATGCATACCACTTATATCTGTGCAAACTATTTTAGGTCATTAAATATGAAATATGCGATTTCTAATCCAAAGTATAGCATATCTCAACCAAAAAGCAGTACAATTAATCAAAGTACACGCCTAAACTATCAACATGGTTTTGCCATCTTAACAGTAGCTTGTTCGTGCCAGCAGCAAAGAAGCCTAGAGAGCCAGTGGCGATGAAATCACAAAAGGCCTTTTCCACAGCTTGTTGAGAATTGAATATTTTTCCTTGTAAGAAGTGGTTCAAAGCCTGGAAGGAGTAGTAGTCAGTTGGTGCAAGGTCTGGTGAATATGGTGGATGACAGAGTTTATAACTCCAGCTGTTGTAGCTTGAGCAGCGTTGTTTGTGCAACATGTGGTTGAGCATTGTCTTGCAAGAGGATTGGTCTGTCTCTATTGACCAATCTCAGCTGCTTAGTCACAGGCATCCTCATCATTTCACCCAATTGGTTGCAGTAGACCTTATCTGTAATTGATTGACTAGGTTTCATGAAGCTGTAGTAGATAATACCAGCGCTGGACCACTAGACACCAGTAGTTTTTTGATGAATATTTGGTTTTGGATTGTGTTTTCTACACTTTCTGCTTGTGATTGTCAAAAAGAATCCATTTTTCATTACATGCAACAATATGGTGTAGAAATTGTTCACCTTTATGTCATGAAAGCAAAGAAAAGCAAGCTTCAAGACGATTTCTCTTTTGACGCCCGTTTAATCCATGTGGAACCCATCTGTCCAGCTTCTTCACCTTGCCAATTTGTTTCAAGTGGTCCAATATTGTTGGAATAGTAACATCAAACCTTACTGCTACTTCATGTGTAGGTTGAGATGGATTCACTTCCACTACAGCTTTCAGCTTATCATTACTCACCTTGGTCTCGGGTTGCCCACATAGCTCATTTTCAAGATTAAAATCGTCAGAATGGAACTTCTCAAACCATTGACATACTATGTGTTCATTAGCCACATCCTTCCCAAAAACTTCATTGATATTTCAAGCTGTCTATGCTACCTTGCTTCTACAAAAGAACTCATATTCGAAAATATCGCAAATGTTTGACTTAGCCATGGTTTCACAAAAATTGCTCTAAAAATTGTGAAAGATAATCACAAGCCAAAAGTGTGTTTGAAAGGCTGAGGATGTATCTTCACAATAAAAATAAAACAACAAGTATCAAAGTGAGACAGCAGAGATATCAACTGTCAAACTTAGTATTTAAGGAAATCGGACATTTCATACTTAATAATCTAATATAATCTACAAGCCAAATCTGGTATGCTATCATTTTTGTAAATTAAGTTTCACTGAAACACAACATCACTCATTCATTTGTTCATTTATTCACTATTGTCTTTGTTTGCTTTTGAGCTAAAATGACAAAGCTGAGTAGGTGTGACAGATACTGCATGGTCCTGCAGAGGCCTACAATATTTGCTCTCTTACCCTCTACAGAAAGTTTGTTGGTTTCTGAAGGTATATACTAATATTATTAATAATTCCCTGTGGACAGGATGTTGGACATATGTATTTTCTTGAACACTAGTGACATTTTGAGGGAATTATAAAAATTGGAAATATATTATTTAAACATTTTCAAAAGGCAAGCCGAATTAAGATTCAAGTGTCTAAGAAAAAAAATTTCCTCCCAAACGATTTAATAGCTTCATTATGACCACAGACTAAATATACTACAGTGAAGTCTTAATGAAATTCTGTTCAGTATTTTTAAAAGTGCAATAAATACACTGACAACAGTAAAAATTATTTTATTTCACTAACCCCAGAAAATCAAGGCTAGCTAAGGCCAGTTGGTGCTAACCAGAGAAATCATGCTTGTTCTTTCAGGAACTGATTAACACCAATAGTCCCAATATGTTGCTTTTAATCAGAAAAATGTATAAGCTTTGGTCAATGACTATCCACTTGGCTAACGGTGTTATCATTCTATGCATCCTTAGTTCAAATATTAGCACGTATAGGAACCGTTCCAACAAATTTTTCTCTATACATACTAAACAAAAATCAAAATCATAAAATATACTCAAAGGTGAAAAGAAAGGGCCAAATGCCATAGATCTAGATCTAAAGCTCTATCTAAAATGTTTTAAAAGACAACCTAATGTGAAGAAATCAGGAAAATCTTCCCCAAAGAGGTTATTCATCTGAAATGTCAAACGCCCAGGATAAAAATAAAAACCTGACAACTGGATAACAAAAACCTAAATTTATTCTTATCTAGTGAAATTCAGTAAGAGCCCACAATAAGAATCTATACATTCAGGAAAGCCTTTTGGGTGGGAACTAAAAAGTTCTCTAGCCATCCTGCTGTTTCAAAACCTCCACCAGGCCCCCAGGCAGTCAGGAACCCAAACTCAGGGTTCTCTCTTATCTCGGGGCAGCTGTATTTCCCTTGGGCAGAGTGATGGCAGCAAGGCTGGTTCCCAGCCATCCATCTTCCTTCCCAAATTATATTACCACAGTGTCTTTTAGACTCGGGTGGAGGCGTCTAAATGCGTTTCCTTTGACAGTCACGTGTGCATAGACTTAGAGAAGACCAAATGGTGCAAAACAGAATAAAGCCGCTTCTCAGAAGACAATTTTCAAAAAAGGGACACCAAAAAATGGGCAACATTTTAAAGGCCCCTTTAAAAGGCTTCTCCTCCCAGTTTAGGCCGCTGGTTCAAGGCGATCAGGGCCACCGGGCTCCGGGGAGAGACCTAAGGGGCCCGCCCGGGGGTGACCAGCGCGGGGCGGGGCGGCCAGGCGCAGGGAGGCCCCGGCAGGGCGGGCGACAGGTGCACGAGGCCGGCGACGCGGGGACGCACTCACACAGGTGGCGGGCGGCGCTGCGCGGGCGTCTCCGAGACCCCGACGGCCGCGCAGGACCAGCGACCGCAGACACTGAGGCGACAGCACGACCGAGCAGCGCAAAGGGAAGGAGCCCTGGGGAGGGGGGAAGCATGCGGTGGGAACGGACTCGTTTCTAGTCTTCCTTTCTTTCTCCTCCAGTAACTCACCAAGAAAATCACACTGAGAAGACGGGGGAAAGGAAAGGAAATGGGAAGGAGCGTCCAGGAGCCGCTACCGCCGCCTCAGGAGACGGAGCCCCGCACCTCTGGCTCTCGCCCCGGCCCCGACCCCGCCCCCTCGCCGGGGCCTCTGCGCCTGCGCCAGCCTGCGCGCCTGCGCCCCACGCCCAGGCTCCGAGCAGCCTCGCGCCGGGCACCTGACTCTCCTCCCGCGCTCCAGCCTACCCGAGCCCTCGGAGCTCCTCCGGCTCCTCCCCTCCCGCGCCGCGCTCCGGCGTCGGCAGTGCGCCAGCGAACCCTCAGCCGCTCGCCCCACCCACGCCGGGATTCGGGCATGCGCACGAGAGCCTTATTGTGTGGCGCCTGCGCACCAGTTGCTTTTCCTACTGTAGCAGAATTCTTCTTTCTTTCCACATTTACGGAGATGGAAAGGAGCACAATATTTTAGGGTACATCCTTTTCACCCTGTTACTCCCAAAGACACATAAACAGTGGCTTCCACATGAACTTCTCAGGCAGGAGAAGGCGCTGCAGAAGGAGGGGCGGGAACCTAGATTGCAGCGCTGCCTTCCACTTCCCCGTCGCCTAGTAACTGTTGCCACAGCAACCGCGCCGTCAACAACGCTAAGCAATCCCCAGAGGAATGGAAAGAGTTTTTTTCTTCCCGAGAGAAGACTGCTAACAAGGGGTCGGAGGGGAATTGCGTGAAAGAGAGAAACCTGAATTTCTTGAGACGGCAAGGGAGTAAGGAAGGAAAGGGGAAGCAGTGAAGAAAGGGACGGAGACACTGGACAGGGAGACAAAAGTTGAGGATAGTTTTTAAGGAGTCATTTGGTGGCCATGGATCCAGCGGGCTCTTCTGAGTGCATTTATAACCTCATACCCAGAGAACTGAAGGCGCCTCCCCAGCCTCCTAGGTATGTGGGTAAGCAAAGATTACCACTTGAAACAAGAACGGGGAATAATTATTCCACTTCAGGAATTAGTATACGTATCGTGGGACTTTAAAAAAATAAAATATATTTTTGTCTCAATGAAGTAGCCTTGGATGACAGCTTCTTAGAGAAGAGGTCTAAGAATCTAGGTATTTAGCATCTAGCAATTCACAGAGGGGCGCTCGAGCGCTGTGTGATGGCCATTTTATTATGTTACACTTAGCCCCCCTTTAATACGGTATGTAATTGTTTTGCAGTTTGTCTACTTGTTCGTAGGTGATGTGGTATATAACAGTGTGAAATATTATGTTGTTGAAAAGAGAAAAATCACAATTTTGATAGGTGAAGCAAAGCAGATGGACTAGTTTCTAAGGTGTTTTTCAGATCTAATGGTTAAATGGGAGGAAGAATGGATGAATAGATATGAACCTCAAAACACGTATTTGAGTTAAAATTTTTATAGAGCTGTTAGACTCCCTTGTATTCTCCAAGTCTTAAACAGGTAATCACAAAGTAAACACTCAAGTTACTCTCATGTGTAGGGACTTAGAACTTATTTAAATCTATAGGGAGAAGGTAAGTAGTGAGGGAAATCTCATCCTTGCTAGGACTTGAAATGTTTCCAGTCTTTTATCTTTATCCTTTTCCTTATGCAAGAAAAACCACTCTAAAAGAGCACTGGGCTAAAAAACAGGCTCTGCAACTAATCGTTTTGGGGATCTTGAATAAAGTTTTATTTGTTTACTGCTCTGTAAAACAAATGTTCTAGAATCTCTAAGGTCCTTTTCAGATCTCTTGGCAAATTATTTTTATTAGTAATTACTGGGGGTGCATGACATCTTCAACAAGTGGGCAACTCATTCAATTTTAAGCCTAAGTTATATATAGTTTTAACCACAGAAGTAACTATATTGTATTTCCATTAGCTTCTCAAAATCTAATAGAGATCAGAAAGAAGAAGGTAAAGTAAGTTATGGCATGATTGCTGAGTTTATGAGGAGTGTTCAAATTGTCTATTGCTGAACTAACTTCTGGGACCAAATCCCTGTGTACTATACAAGATAAAAGTTCCTCCTCTCTGTAACACACTGATAGATTGTATTTTCTATAGAATACTGAATTTGAATGTTAAGATATTTTATTATATAAGTATTCTGTTCATGGTAAATTAAAAAGTTTAACTGCATCTAGGCATTTTTTTCCAAAAAATTTTATAGGAACAATCTATTCATTTGGCAAACCCAGCCCTTATTATGTGTATAATATTGCCCTAGTATATCAGGTTAGGGAATGTTGTAGTGATAGCACAAACTTCTTAGTTTTACTATGAATGAATAAGTAGAAAAAAGGACTTATGGTAAAGAGGAAAAGAAGGCATCTAAATGTGGTGCCAAAAGAACCCTTTCTATTAGGGTGTAGTCAATTTACACTGTCAACAACAACCATAGGATTTTTTGACTCCTCATGCATACAAACCACTAATTTATAAGAAAAGCATAATGAAACATTTAACCAGTTCTCTCTCACCACACCAGCATGAACTTGTCCTAACTCAGTCTTCGCACTAATCATATTAATCATAAGAAAGAATGTATTAAAGTTACAAGTCCTGTTTGCATCACCGTGTTTTAAACCCACCTCCAAGAAAGCTCACCGCAGCTTTGCCAGCTTCTGCCAAGATTGTGACAGTTGGCAACGCCGTGATCTCCCACACCTCAGAGTTTACAGTCTTCTTGGGGAACTGAAATGTGAACATTAAATTAAATGTTGATTAACCACAAAGTAAGATATTATTGAAAACCTCAATGAAAGATGCGGACACTAAATGAAAGCTTTTAGAAGATGGATATATGTGACCAAAATCGGGTGAAGGGCACATTCCTGTAGCTGATTCTTAAGATATGAAAGTGTTGACGTCAATGGGAAGTTATGATTCAGTTTTCAAAATTGGAGTTGCCATAATGCATGAGATGGTTTCCAAGATCTTCACCAAATCTGTCACCCTTCCATTGATGGCTGTAATTATTTAATATCTCCACTCATTCCTTCTCTCCATTTTTTTAAAAGCAGTATTCCAGATATGGTCTGAACAGCCCATGAAACTATTACCTCCTTTCTTTAATACTTGGCACAATACTTTTATCCATGCAGACTAAGTTTCCATTAACATTTTGAAAGTAATATACCACTATTGGCTCACATGGAAAGTACCTGCATGGATTATGACTAAGGTTCATCTCTCCCATCTTCTAATTATGTATCTGATTCTTTTTGATCTCAACTCATTAATCTATGGAAATAGTTTTGAATTATGAATCTTTCATATAGTCTATTAACTATTGTTCTCAGTTTTGCGTGATTTGCAAATCTAATATGTGTGTCTTTTATATCTCCACCTATCATCGAACAGGGCAAGTACTTTGCACTTCAGTAGGCTAAGAGACTTCTCCTTTAAGCTGATAGCAATACTTTTTTGAGTGTTTAGTCACTCAAATGGACCCATTAATTAGTTCATATTTCTCTACCTTATCAGCAAGTATTTAATAAGAAGCTTTGCTAACATCAAAATGCAGACTATTATGTCTAAAATATTTCCCTGATCTATGAGTCTAATCAGTCCTATTTTTTTTAGTTGTTGTTCATTTATGGTGACCTGACACTCCAAATGGGCTCATGTAATCATTTCTTCTCCAAGAACTTAATACAGATTCTCTATACAACTCTTGCAGAAATTGACATCAGGTTTATCAGTATAGTTTCTAGATGCATGCCTTTTGAAAATTGGAATATTTAATGGCCTAAATACCATTAGTTTTTAAAATGCCTTTCTGTTTTTCATTGTGATTAATTGTAACATGTAATCTGCATTTCATTTTTGGAGCTTCCCATTCTTCTTGAACTACATTCCATTTGATCTAGTGTCATTACTGTTATACCTCTATGTCCTGAAATCTTTATAACAACTCCTTGTTTAAAGTAGGGTTAGGTATCTGACTCTGCTGGGCAGTCTGTTCCTTGACCATTATGAACTCTTAGATTACATGGTTATTTTCTCGTGAGGTTCTTGTCATTTCTACTTTGTTGACTAATTACAGATAAGAATTCAGTCAAGGAAAGCAGTAACTCTTTTAATAAGCTTATATTCAAAGAAAGTCAAGACTATCCCAAAGTCTTTTTTTTTTTTACATAATCGCATTTTATGCTAAAATTCCCATTGCTGCAATATATGGTCCCAGAGTTTTATGATTAGTGTTAGAAGCTATTATTTATATTTTTCATGTGGCTAGGTAGTCTTTACAGACTTCCACAATAATAACACTTATCTTCATCTCCTGTATTATTTTACCCAACCGTTCTTCTTATGCTTATATATCATATATTTTTTTATATATGTGATATATATTGTGTATATCAGGCACTCAACTGAAGATGTACTGTGATTAATAGAATCACCTGATTCTATTGAAGGCCTGGGAAATGAAATAGTCGAAGGGATAATTCAAAAAGGCAATTTTCTGCTTCAGACATATGGATGATCCACAAACAGGATTTTTGTCAGCAAGGAAAATTATAGCTTCCATATGCATTTACTGGTTGAGTGTTCATTTTGAGTTATTGCCTCTAATTTGGACCTTTATAGATAGTACAACAGTGGTAAAAGGTATTAGCACACCTCACTGGCATTTCATGTATACCTAACAATGTTGTTAGAAGAAAATATGCCAACAATAATCCTTAAAATTAGTTGCCAGGGAAATTTGTGGATAAGTGAGCTTTTGTGAATGTTAGACTCGTTTTTTAAAAGTATATTCAATTATAGAACAGGGTTTACTATCGTAAGAAATTCCATACAATATATTGTAGTATGAGACTTTGTTTGTACAAGTCAGGAAAGTGTGTCAGTCTATCTGTTTCTGTCTGTTATATAATGGCCTAGCACAAGAACTCAAATTTTTAGAAAATAAGACTGTTTCTGCTAGAACACAAGTAAAATGAAGTAAAGGGTTAACAGTTTCAGTTTTTTAAATTTTAATCAAGATAGATATCCAGTAATCATAATGACAAGATACTATTACTATTAATAATATGTTCAATGTATTAATATTTACAATGTGCCACATAACTGTTCTATGTTTTTCACAGTCATTATTTAATTCTCACATGAATTCCCACAGCATAAGATAAATAGATAGTATTTCCCAATTTTATGGGAGAGGAAACTCAGGCTGAGAAAGTTGAGGCAGCTAGGAAAAAACATCAGCTGAGATTGAGACATAAATCTGATACCACAGTCCATGACTTTAATCAGTTTGCATGCTGCCTTTTAGCCTGAGTCAATAAAACACACCTAACACCTTTTGCTTCAATAGCATGTATTATTTTTTTTGGTCTTCTGACAATTTATTATGTATCAGATACTGTTTGATATTTATTTATATACTACCTGGTTCTAATGCAATAGGATATTTTTCAATGAGTATATTAAAGCAAATGGGAAATGATGACAGAAAAGTAAGATAATGCTCCAAATGAGGTTATACATGAAATGTATGCTTTAAAATCTTGTATGTTTTCTTGAAGTCTGAAGCTAATTTGACTCAGTTACTAGTAAGCAGCCAGCCCACAAAAGAAGAAAGATTCTTTAAAAATCACTTACACTCTAAGTCACAGCACAGTGTACCAAAGAGGAGAGAACTCCATAGAGAGAGGGCTATGGAAATCTGCAGGAAGATTTCCCTGATGAATTTGGTTGATAGCACATGTATAATGAAACTACCAAGGCCAGGGAAATAACCAATGAAAAGCAGTAGTCCCAGGTAAAGTTCATGTTCCCACCAGCCAGAGTGGAGACACCTCCTAACACACAGGACATTAAGTAATGCACTCAGAAGTATTATACATTGCCTCAGTAGTGGGGCCAAAGTAGAACTAGTCTAAAAGTCCTTCTGGACTTACCCTAAAACTTAAAAGCAAGCCTTAAAAGGATCACACTGTTTTTAACTATCATAATTGCACTCTGCATCCCAGAATAAAGCTAAAGAAAAAATTTAAAGAATACAAAAAAAAAAAAAAGAAAGAAAGAAAGAAAAGGAAAGAAAAGAAAAGAAAAGAAAAATTCAGCAACTGACAATGTAAAATTCACAATGTTTAGCATGCAATCAAAAATTCCTGCATGCAAAGAAGCAGGAAAATATAATGCATAACCAAGAGAAAAAAAAGTCAATACAAACAGACATAGAAATGGCATATATTAGAGAATTAATAGAGAAGGGCATTATAAGAGCTATTTTAAATATTCATGATATGTTCAAAAAAGTAGAGGAAAGCCCAATTAAGATATGCAGAGAAAAGGAAGGGGTGGGGGAAGGAACTTACAGACATAAAGAATACCAAATCCAGAAGGAAAAAAGTATAATAGATGAGATTAATAGCAGCTAAGACATCGAAGAAGAAAATATAGGTGAATTTGAAGGCATGGTAATAGAACAACACAAAATGAAACACAAAGACAAAAAGACTGAAAAGGAAAACAGAGAATTAGTGATCCTTGCACAACATCAAGAAGCCTAATAAAGTATAATTAGAATCACAGAAGAGGAAAAAGATGGGAAAACAGAAGAAATATGTCAAGGGGAAATAATATCAAGGATTTATGGGCTTTATACCACATAGAGAAGTAAAATATGTACAACACTCTAGGACAAAGGTCAGGGGTGGATGCAAGTATTCTTTTGTAAGGTTCTTATACCATATACAAAGTGGTATAATATTACTTGAAGGTAGGCTATGATAAGTAAAACATGTATAGTGTAAAGCTAGGGTTTTCACAAAATGAAACAAAACAAAAAACAAGACAGTATAAAAAGGGGAAAAGAATGAGCAATGGGATTTGTAGAAAATAGCAAGATGGAAAATTAAACACAAACATTTTTAAAGTCCCATTAAATGAGAATGGTCTAACTATACCAAATAAAAGTGAATGTTAGTTAGGTAAAATTTCTATGCTGTCTATAAGGAACCCTCTTTAAAAATAAACATTTAGGCCAGGCATGATGGCTCATGCTTGTAATTCTAGCACTTTGGAAGGCCAATGTGGGAGGATCACTTGAAGCAGGAGTTCAAGGCCAGTCTGAGCAAGAGTGAGACCCCATCTCTACCAAAAATGGAAAAATTGGCCAGGTGTGGTACAGTGTGCCTATAGTCTTAGCTACTCAGGAGGTTGAGGTAAGAGGATTCCTTGAGCCAAGGAGTTTGAGGTTGCAGTGAGCTATGATGACACCACTGCAATCTAGCCCAGGAGACAAAGTGAGACCCTGTCTCCAAAAAAATTAAAATAAATAAATAAACAGAGACAAGTAAAAAGTCCAAGGAAAGAAGACCTACTATTGCAAATCAAAGGAATGCTGGAATAACATCAGACAGAGTCCATTTTTAGAGGACAGAATTTTGAAGGAATAAAGGCTGTTATTTTATGATAAAGTGGTCAGTTTTTCAAGAAGATATAGCAACCTAAATAATATGTACCTATGTACCTAAATAATATGTAATAACAGAGCTTCAAAATGTATAAAGCAAAAGCTATTTGAATTAAAAGAGGAAATAGTCAAATCCAAATACATAGTTGGAGACTTCAGCAACTCTCTTTAAATAATTTATAGAATAAGTAGACAAAATCAGTAAGGATATAGAACATTTGAAACCACTATCAGCCAGTTTTATCTAATTGTCATTTGTAGAATATAGCGTCCACAGTGGCAGAATACACTTTTAATTGTATACAGAACAATTACAAGATAGACCAAACTTTGTGCCATAACACAAGTGTTAGAAAATTTAAAAGGATTAAAATCACACAAAGTATATTCTCTAATCACAATGAAAATCAATTAGAAAGCTTTCTGGGAAATCCCAAATATATGAAAACTAAACAAACATGTCTAAACAATCTTCTAAATCAAAGATCATATCAAAAGGAAATTTAAAAGGTATTTTGGGCTGAATGAAAATGAAATGTGGCATATCAAAATTTGCAGGGTGAAGCTAAAGTGCTGCTTAGGGGGAATTTTATAGCTTTAAACACTTATATTAGGAAAGTATAAAGTTTTGAAATCTAATACCTAAACTTAAGAAACTTAAAAACAAACAAACAAATTAAACCCAAAGTAAGAAGAAGAAATTATAAAGATCAGTGCAGAAATAATTAAAATGGAAAACATGTGAACATTAGAGAAAATGGATGAAATTCTGGTTCTTTGAGAAGATTAATAAAATGAATAACCCCCTAGCCAGACTTACCAGCAGAGAGAAAGAGAGAGAGAAAACACAAATTACTAACCTCAGGAATGAGAGAGGTGACATCACTACAGATGCTACAGATGCTCAAAGGATAACAAGGAAATACTGTGAGCAGCTTTACCCTGGCACCTCTTTCTTAGGGCAGAACTTGCTGAACCCTGATGGACAGGGCTCTGATAATCATGTTTTATAACTATTCTTTCCCATATGAATATAAGACTTAAATAATTTAGAAATGTATGCCTGTTTTTAAACTTTAAATAATTTTTACTAGAAATATAAATGCTACAACTTATTAAATTTATTTTTAGGTACATATCAATTTTTAGGGCAGGTGTAAAAGATGACATGAAAAAGTTTAAAAATGCAATGAAAACTATGGGACCAGCAAAAGTTGAATTACCTTCTCCAAAGGATTTCCTAAAGAAACATTCAAAGGACAAAGCTCTACCACCAAGTAGGTTTTATCACTCTTAATATTTAATATTAAAAATGTTAGAGGGGCCCAGCCTGGTGGCTCATGCCTGTAATTTTAGCACTTTGGAAGGCTAAGGTGGGAGGATCACTTGAGGCCAGGAGTTTGAGACCAGCCTGGGAAATAGCAAGACCCTGTCTCTATAAAAAATAAAAAAAATTAGCTGTGTGTAGTGGTGTGTGCCTATAGTCCCAGCTACTCAGGAGGCTCAGTCATGAGGATCACTTGAGCCCAGGAGTTTGAGGTTGCTGTGAGCTGTAATGACATCATTGCACTCTAGCCCAGGCCACAGAGCCCTTCCAGACCTTCTCTCAAAAAAAAAAAAAAAAAAATTGTGTAAATTCTTAAAAAGGTCAAACAATGAAGAAATGAATAAAGTCAAAGTCCCTAGTGATTGTAATGGGGTTAACATTGGAGTGAGGCCTTATCAAAATTATTGTTGCTTTTGGTTCTTGGAAATAAATTATAATTATTTCACGTTTTAGCATTTTGACAATCCATTTTGATGTGACTATAGCAAGACAGATTGGTTGGAATGGTCAAAGAGGCTGTGTTAAAATGGCCAATTTCATCTGCTATTAATGAAGAGAGTGTGGTATAGTGAAATAAATAAGATAAATTCTGGATAATAGTTACTTTAGGATACAATCGAGGAAGAGTGGATAAAAAATTTCAGCTATATTGGTAATATTTTATTTGTTAAGCTGTGTGTTAGGTACACAGCCATGACATGATTTTTATCCCTTGGTATAATAATAGTTTTAGTGGAAAATCCATAACTTCTTAGACTTTCAGTACAAGTTTGGTTTATTAACTTGGTGATTTTATAATCATTTTCCTCTGAAGAAGCAATTATTGGTAATATTAATAAAACTCAGAAAAGAATTTTAAAGTTTTTCATTTAAACCTACTTTACATGGAAAAGCTGAACATTTGTTGTTGAAATATTTATCAGAAAATAGTTTCATAATAGCCAGTAAAAATGCATTAGTTAGCTAGCACATAATTTGGGGTGCTTATCCTTCTCCTTAGATTTTTTATACTGTTTTTCAACCTATTAATTATGTTGCCCTTAATTTTTTTCATTTTGATTGCTGAGTTTTTTTTATTTTTTAAAACTCATTTTATTGAGGTATGATTTACATGTACAAAGCTGGTGAGTTTGGGGATAATTATAAACTTTTGCCTTAAATATTTGAAAAAATATATATATATATCAATTTTTTGTGGTTTTTTTTGAGAGAGAGAGAGAGTCTCACTCTGTCACCCAGGTGGAATACAGTGGCATCATCATAGCTCACTTTAGCCTCAAACTCCTGGGCTCAAGTGATCCTCCTGCCTCAGCCTCCCAAGTAGCTGGGGCTGCAGGCAAGCTCTGCGATGCCCTGCTAATTTTTCTATTTTTAATAGAGGCGGGGGTCTTGCTCTTGCTCAGGCTGGTTTCAAACTCCTGACCTCAAGCAATCCTTTTGCCTTGGCCTCCCAGAGTGCTAGGATTACAGGTGTAAGCCACTGAGACTGACCTTGAATATATTATGAATAAAATTTCACTATACTAGTGGTAAAATATATGGATATTATAAATAGTACGGGTAGCAATGTTGATAGTTTAATATTAACAAGGAAATGTTATGTTTAACAGAAAAAAAGTTCGATTGGAATGAACCCAGAAAGCCTGCCGTGCCATTAAGAGATGACCATCCAGTCATGGGAATACAGAGTGGAAAAAATTTTATAAACACAAATGCAGCTGATGTCATCATGGGAGTGGCTAAAAGGCCTAAACCAATTTATGTTGACAAGAGAACTGGAGACAAGCATGATCTTGAAACCTCAGGACTACTTCCAAAGTACATCAATAAGAAGGTAGACTTGTGATATATTAATGACAGACCTGAGTTCAAGTAATTTAAGTACGGTGTTCATAGTGATTGTCTATATTATCATTAATAGCGCTCTCACTGGACAAATTATCTAGATTGCCAATTCCCGTCCCTTTGCACTCTGTGTTTGGTCTAAATCTAATGTGGTGAAGTTACAGAGAATTTGTAGTAAACAGTACCATGTAGTTCAGCAGATGAAAGTTATAGCATTTCCTTAATTTCAATCACTAATATATTTAGCAATTATAACAAACATTCTCTGAAAGATATTAATTTTTGGTTAGGTAGAAATGTCACTAAAGCTGTCACTACTGTAAATCTAGAAGGAATAACCTTGTAGAACATTTTAAGATGCAGTCATTAAATTATAGTAACTTGTAGCAGAATAAAAGAAATCAAGAGGACTACAAATTTGGAACCATCCATCTCATCAGTGTAGTATAAATGATCCTCATTATTATTATTATTATTATTTTTTTTTTTAGAAACAGGGTCTCACTCTATTACCCAGGCTAGAGTGCAGTGTTGCAGTCATAGATCACCGCAGCCTCCAACTCCTGGGCTCAAGCGATCCTCCTGCCTCAGCCTCCTAAGTAGCTGGAACTACAGGCATGTGCCACTAGGCCTGGCTAATTTTTAAATTTTTTTTATAGAAATAGTGTCTTGCTGTGTTGCCCAGACTGGTCTTGAACTCCTGGCCTCAAGCAATCCTCCTGCTTTGGCCTCCCAAAGTGCTAGGATTAATGAGCCACCACACCTGGCCTTTATTACTGTTTTAATGTGAATATATTTATTTTTAGTTTGGAGTAAAACCTTGAAACTGAACAATAATCTAGTGTTTTTGGAGTCTTCATTTCTAGCTAAAGAGATGTTTATCAGATAGGCTTATAAATTCATTGGTGAACATAATAAAAGCTTGTGTTTAATGGTTTAAATATAGAAGATCTTTAAAAAAAAAGCTTACCAAAAAACTTATATAAATCCTATTTTATTTTGTATATTATAGAGCTTAAACGTGCTGGAAACACATAGTAAAATATGAGTGCGAAATTCTAAAGAATAATAATAAATAATAACAAGTTGTGGCAAGAAAGAAAGGAAGGGAGGGAGGCGGAAAAGAAATGGCCGTAGTGAGTTTGGGGGCCTTGCGGGAGGCAGGGCAATGATCTGCCCTGATAAATCTAATGTCCATTGTGATCAAAACAGGAACCTCAAGGCCGTTTTCAGAGATTACTGCTTATTCTCTGAGAAACTCTTCTCACTCAATAGTCTAAGATCGTCTTATTTAGCAGGACTCTAGCAGTTGGCAACACAGGTCAATAAAGTCACCTCAGGCTCCTTTGGATACTTCTTCTTCCTTCTGTGGCTCCTGGAAGCTGCTCATAGCTAGTTCTGGTCCCATAGGATGGGGAAAAGTAGAAAGTTCACTCTCCCAGCTCTTTAAAGCCACTTCTAATCCATCATCATTTCTCCACTCTCACATAAAACCCTTCTCCTCCAATGGTCATGCCACCAACTGTCACGCACCCTGTCCCTACATCTTCTGCCTTGCACAGGAAATTGAGAGTATCCATCACGGAAACAGAAAAATAGTGATCTGCCTGTGCTTGTTTACCAAGCTGTGAAGACACCAAGCACTCTATCGGCCCCTTGGTGTTGCTGACAGAGCAATCAATGCTTATGAAAGTCTGACTCGACTTACTTTTCACTAATCAAAGTTAAGTTTTAAAAATCGATTACTATCTCAGCAAGCAAGATAGTAAATAGATCCTTTCGAAGGCAATACCATTTTTTTTAAAAAAGTGACTGAACCTCATGTTTTAATTCCAAATAAATCACATGCCATTTGCTCAGAGAAACACTTTGTGAGAACAAACTAAAGCATGGATGATTACATGAGGCATTTGGCAATGGTAGTTAAGACAGCATTTCAAATTCTAACTCTGCCACTTAAACTCTGTGACTTGTTAGTCATTGGATTGATCACAGGGTCGTAGTGAGGATTAAATGACATGAAGAACATTAAGCACTTGACATAATGCCTGGCACCTAATAAAAGCTTAACAAAGAGTGAATACTATAATATATGCAATTATTAATATTAATAGTACATATTAGCCTTCAATGATTCAGCACATAGGACCATTTCAGATCACTGAAGCTATTGCCCACCATTTGTGAAATTGTTTTTTTCTGGAATATATGGCATCATTGCTTTTCTTAAACAGAGCATGCCAAATATAATTTATTTTTGTGTGTGTGATGCTGCAGAATCATCGTCATGAACATCAGTTATTATATTGAGCTGTAAGAGACGCAGCCCTCAGCGTGTCCTGGAGTGGATCAGCCTGTTTCCCGCTGCGCTGGCTCACCACAATTCTGTGTCTCTGATTCACTTGTGCTGTTCTTTGCAGCTTTCCAGAGCACATTTATGTCAGGACCTCTATCCCTCGTTCAGCCAGGATGGGGTAGGTTATGCTGAAGTAACAAATAGCCCCCAAATTTCAGTAACTTAAAGTGACGGTTTTATTGTTTGCTTGTGCCACATGCTCACTGAGGGTTGTTAGAGGCTCTGCTTCCATGTTATCCTCTTTCTAGGACCCAGAAAAGCCAGAACATTGCTTGTCACCAGACCAGACACAAAAAGAACTCAGCAAGTCATCCCCCAGTGCTTACGGCTTCTACCCACAAGTGACAGAGGTCACTGCCACTCCCACTCCCACCGGGCAAGTTAGGTCATATGGTCATGTCTTGCTTTGAAGGGAGAAGGAAAATTGTCCTACTTTAGTGCCCAGAAGGAAAAGAACCAGAATATTTATAAATAGTTTTAATGACTACCATACCCCGTCAACTGCTGCTTGCTGAGAGAGTTCTCTGACTTCCTTATTTATCTATTAGTTTCTTTCTCCTTTCTATCCTCTATTTTACTTCAGAGCACTTATACATTATCTGATACTCCGTTTTGGTGAGTCTCTGTCACCACAGAATACAAATTTCATGGGGGCAGAAACTTTGTCTTAAAAAAAATAAAGGAAACTTTGTCCTTCTTGTTCATTATTATACCTAGCACCAAGTACATTCTCAAATAATTTTTGGAAGAATGAACACATAGGATTTCTGTTTCTCTAGACAGTGACATCAGCGCATTTTGCTAATCTGAAAGAATCACAGCTGACTGCTTCACTGTCAGTCCTTGCAAACACCCCAGGAGCCTAAAAATATATTTTACATTTCCAAAACCAAGCTAAGGGTCCCAAGTGAATCTCCTCTTAACAATGATATGCTTGGTATCTTTTAAGGGTTTGTTTTTATAATGTCTTGGAAGCCTTTTTCTTCTTTTATTTAAGAAGACTATGAAAAAGAGACCTTCAGATATTTTTCACGGTAAAAGCTGAAGCACATGAAAGATAAAACCCAACTCCTAGGAGTAAAGTGAGGGCCAAGTCATCTGCTAAACACAAGCACTGGAAACATTTATTAATAGAAGAGGGAAAACAAGAACCACAATATCAACTCAGACAGTTTTAAAAGACTAGAATCAACTAGTTCTCAATGAGGAAAATCACCAAATTTTGTCAATTTACAGGGTATGAGCAAAGGCTTTAGTCTGCAACATCTCGTTATCTCCCTGTCATTGGTTGGTTTGTACATATATAAGATTGCATTCAGGATATTGATTATGTTTTTCTGAAAAATCCTTGCAGGATTATGGTGTCATACCTGAATACATATGTAAGCGAAATGAGGAAGTAAAGAGAGCCCAAGAAGAATATGATTCTTATATCCAGGAAAAACTCAGGAAAGCCGCTATGAAAAGGCTCTCCGATGAAGAAAGGGAGGCAGTTCTGCAGGTGAGTGTTGTGTAGTTTATGTTCATCTGGAACTCTCTGGAACATTCCTGAAAGAGCTACCATCAACTTGATTATTAAAGCCAGCACTTTTTTTTGAAACCAGAACAATCTCTTCTGGTTATAATGGCAAACTACTTGCAGCAAAGCCAGCTCTTTGGGGAGAGCAAAAAGTTGTAATATAGGGGTTCATTCAGTAATATTTTGTTTCCACTTTGGAGCTTCTGGTTTTTTTCTGAACTAGTGTTGTAAGGAAACCTACCTTCTTCTACAACACACATGTATAAATGAGGCAAAGAAGCATTTTTATTTTCATTTGTATGTTCCTGCATTTGTAAAAAATAATATTCATAAATTAGATATCTTTCACTAGATGGAGCTCTAGAATAATTGAAACTGTCTCTAGACCAACATTTTCTTCTTTCCTAAAAGCCAAACGTCCAAATTTTTAACTAAAACAGATATTAGGCTTTACGTATATCTTTCTTATTTTGAATAAAATAAACTTAAACGTATATTTACACTGGAGTTTTTAATTTTGGAGTTTTATCTGAAGCATTTAACATATTAGGGTGTGTGAGTGGGGGTTGCTGCTTGTCATTTGTAGCGTGTTCACCAAGCACCTACCCGCACCTTCCATAGTCCCGCTCATGCTGATAGAGATATAGACAGCACTTTCATCTTTGCTTTTTATTTTGAAAGCTTTCTACAAAGCCATTTCTACTGCCTTATTAATCTCTGTTGAAAAATGGATTCATATGCTGTTACAAATTCTTAACATTTTATCAGTCATCGTAATCATCAATAAACGTTTCTCACACGCTAAGCCCTGAGGATATTAAAGAAAGGCGTAAGATAAGACTTCTGCTATGGGGAATGTTGTAATGTAATTGATGTAAGTTAATTGGCATCTATACACATGTACAGGCATGAACGTGTGCGTGTGTGTGTAGCGATCGCAAGTTGAATAAGGTGCCAAGGCACCAGTCACCACTGACAGACCCAGATCCTTAGCAGAGCGAGGGTGTGTCCCAGACAGCAGGAGCGGCTTAAGGGCAGGGACTTTCTCTGTTGACAGCGGCATCCCCAGGGCCCCCATGCCCAGTAAAACACAGATGTTCAGAACGTGCTGGAAAGGAGGGAAGTGGACAGGCAGGAAGGCTGGCAGACACGGGAGTGGGAACTGGCATGTCCCAGTCAGGGAGCGTGCTGGTCTCTGGCCCCTTCTCTCCCTCTCATTTGGATTCTCCCATTTTCAGAAAGTACACACCTTTGTGAAAGCCACGTCCTTATACCTAAAAATGCTGGAAAAGGGACAGGCTCTTTCCTCCTGTGTCTTTTTGGCTGTAGTAGATAAGCAGCCGTCAGCTTCCTGTCATGATCGCTGCAGTTACCTTCCCTGCGACTCCTTACCAGCCAGGGAGCACAGCTGTGTGGTAAGAAAGCCACTGACCCTCCCCCCGACAGCCAGAGCCGTGCTTCCCTCCCTGGTTAAGAGCTGCACATGGTTCCATGACAGTGTGGTTGTATGTCTCCGAGTAAGTCCCATTCTGCTCAATCTTCATAAAGTAGCAGGCTCATTATACCCGGAAGAGATCATCTGTCTAATGATTCCAAACTCCATTATACCTGGAAGGGATCATCTGGTCTGAGGATTCCAAACTTCTCATTTTATAGATGAGGACAGAAAATACAAATAGATTAAGCGGACCCCTTTGTTCATTCATCCCGTCATTCATTTATTGAACATCTACTATGTGCCAAGCACAGTCCCCAACCAGGGGGATACTGCAGCGAGCAAAACAAGCCCTTACTGTCATGAACTTAGAATTTGGTTTGCATTTTGCCTTGGTCACAAAATTATCCAGAGGATGGACAGGGACTAAAACTCACGTTTACCAATGGCCAGGCCGGGTTTTCCCTCTGCATTGCGCAAAGGGGCATAGGAGGTGGCAGAGGAAGCTCTTTCAGTCACAGATAGCTCAGGCAGGATATAGAAGGCAGCTCTACCGGAATGCGGAAGGGACTGTAGGAAGGAACCATTTATGGAATGAAGTAGGGTTAAGGGAACCATCGAGGAATGCTGAGGACCCCAGAACTAAGGACAACAGGAATTCGCCACCATCTGAGCTTGACAGACTGGGACAAGAAGCAACATTGCCAGAGCCCAGGGGGAGCTGGGGCCTGGACGGAGGTTACAGTCACAAATGAATGCTAGAATTATCGTCAGGGGGGAGAGGGGAGAAATGCCCCAATCTCTCTCTTGTCCCTCCAGGGCCTTCTTCTTCTTCTTCTTCTTTTTTTTTTTTGAGACAGACTCTCGCTTTGTTGCCCAGGCTAGAGTGAGTGCCGTGGCATCAGCCTAGCTCACAGCAACCTCAAACTCCTGGGCTCAAGCAATCCTCCTGCCTCAGCCTCCCAAGTAGCTGGGACTACAGGCATGCACCACCATGCCCGGCTAATTTTTTCTATATAGCTGGCCAATTAATTTCTTTCTATTTATAGTAGAGATGGGGTCCTGCTCTTGCTGGTTTCGAACTCCTGACCTTAAGCAATCTGCCCTCCTCTGCCTCCCAGAGTGCTAGGATTACAGGCAGGAGCCACAGGGCCCAGCCTCTTCCAGGGCCTTCTTTGGCTGAACTCACTCAGCTGCCAGAGGGAGAGAGAGCCAGAGGAACAGCCCTCGAGGCTTAACGCCCACCCTCTCCCCCAGTCACACAGCAGGGCCAGAAGGGGGAGAAGGTTTTGCCGTGGGAGGAGGGGGTGCACTTCTTATTATATAAAAATACTTCTTATTATAGGTCCACTTCTCCCTGTTTGAATTTTTCCCAAAATTCCCAATATTATTTCAGCATTAAAATAGAAGAGAGAAAAATAAAGAAATAAAAATAAGGGAAAATCGCTATTGCTGCAATGGATAAAAGATCTTTTTTAGATGAAATAACCAAAAAAAAAAAAAAAGGCTTAGAAACAGCAAGGAGCCTATTTCACTCTCATGTGAAATATTAGTTACATTGAGTTTCCATCCCTCGCTGTTGACTTTGATCCGAACGTTATTGTACACACTGGAAGATAAAAGCAAACTATGCTTTAAAAGAAAATACAGAGGAAAAAAGTGTAGCTGCTGTGACCACAAGTAATATGGAAATATCACCCAACTAGCTAAGGAAAACCTTTGATATTTGAAAGTGTCTAAATACATAGATTTCCTCTCTGTGGTGGCCGCCTGCAGGGCACTGTGGGGACCATTTCACATTTCATAATGAAAGACTGTGCAGAAACAGAATTCTTTTGAGGACCTCTTTTTAGAATCCATCTCATACACCATTATGAATTGCGTTAACCTACCCCTCTCTTTTTAAAATTTAATCTGGATACTTTTCCTTCTCTCGTTTCCCTTTCCCAGATTCTATTCTCACTCAATAAAATAGCCTGTTCTGTATAGCGTGCTCTAGCCTACCGTCACTTTTACCTAAGCCTGGGATCAATCATTGAAACGTTATTGTCCCCAAGAAGTTTCTACGAGATTAAATTGGAACTATGAGGGCTTATGATGAAGGAATTATTATATAACACATTATTAACCCACCTTTAGACCTAAATGTATGGCCATGGTTTCCAAGGACCATGTTTTCAAGGCAATATTTTAAATCGCGCTTTCTGTTTTGCCTTTTGTTTTTGTGTGAAGAAAATCATCTGTGCGCCCAGAATAAATAATAAAAAGTGTTCATTTATAAAATTTGATTGAATGAATTTAATTAGTAGTTTTAAGACCATTTTGTCAGTGGAGCTCCTAGTGCACTGTGATAAGAAAAGATCACTATACAGGGATGGAAATAACCCTTATGGCTCCTGAGAGATCTGTAATTTTGAATTTGTTGATTTCTGAGAATATAAAACATTAACTACATTATTTATTGCATGAGCATGGGTGTCACATTTAACCATCTTTCAGTTGTTTCTAGAATACATTAATAGGAAATAGAGATCCCTTGACTATATGGAGGGCGATGTGTTCTAATGTATTGAAAAGATATATTAAGAATTTTACAAAAGATCACTTTTTAAAAATTGAATTTTGGTATTCTTGTCAAATATAAGAAAATATAGTCATGTAAGTCATAATTAGGTCTTTTGATGTGATTTCTCTGTCAAAGAATGTGACTAAAAAAGGAATTTTTAAAGAAACAAAGTAAAAATTTCATAAGAAAAAATTTCCTTTTCAAAAATGGTTTTTACATGGGGCTGTCCATTCTAAGTTGTTGTTGCTTTTTAACCAAAGCATTTGCTATGAGCTTTAGCTTCATACTACTCATAACCCTGCATGCACTATCGGATGATAAAAACAAGTACAGTAACATTAAAAACAGAGCGAATAAATACTCCCAATGGGAATTCAGCACACAGTTAAGGAAAGGATTTGGCCTCTGTGCAGTATTTTTGGTTACTATGGCCAAGTACTTGATAAGTACATATCGTTTTGAAAGTTATTCTCATGTTTTCTTTACCTATTTATATTTTTCATTACCACTTTGCTTTTCCATTTTCCTTTTTTTTTTTTTTTGCAGTTGACTTTAGTGTTTACAGTTTTCTTTACCATTTATTTGCAGGGACTGAAAAAGAACTGGGAGGAGGTACACAAAGAGTTTCAGTCCCTCTCTGTCTTCATAGATTCCACCCCAAAAAAGATGCGCAAGCAGAAGCTGGAAGAAGAAATGAAGCAGCTGGAACACGACATTGCTGTGATCGAAAAGCACAAAATTATTTATATTGCCAATAAGTGATAATGGGTTTCTAAAGTATAATAGCTTTAATGTAGGAATAAAACATGGAAAATATGAAAATAAAGCTATTTTTTCAAAAAGGAAAATGCTATGAGGAGGATAAAAATGTCTTAATCAAAATGCTTAGGCAGTGTTTAAAGAATAATAACAATTGTGATTCCCTCACACAAAAGAAAAGTTTGTTTTTCCTAATGTTATGTCTTCCACGTCTAAACCATT